GGATTGGATGTCGGTTGCTGTTATAAGGTTCACCTTTGACACATCTACTCCTGACATTACTTGATTCCCTAATCTTATTTAGATGCTGGCAAGCCATTTTCAATTTTAGCTCATGTGAATATCAGAAATTTTATCCATTTTCACTGAGAAAACTTTTGTGAAATCTCACTCATTCATTAACGTTTGATCTTTTTTTCATATTGAGGCAGTTTATTGACTTGAATAAATATCCCTCGATGTAGAAGAGCTTGATTCAGAAGTTCACAGAGCCCTGTATATTAGTCGAACACAATATGAAAGAGAAAAAAAGTATAATTACTATGATAAGAAAAAAGGGAGGCCTATATTGAAGAGATGAGGAATTTGTAAAAGAGGAAAGGGGGGATAAAGGATTAGGATCTTTTTCTTCACCCTGGTTTCTTTGTTCCTGTAATCCTGCCTCCCAGTCCCAGCACGAGCGGCGCTCCATGGGAGAATCCTGTCTGTACAGTCAGATACTACCAGCACCACAATAGATAACTGATCTACAATCATATTCAATGTGATAATCTTGGGGATGTAAAAAAACAAAAACAAAGCAATCTTACCCAAGAGTGAAACCCATACATTTTGCTCAAGGAAGGAAAACATTTGATTTTTGCAACACAAAGTAACTTTGTATAATTAGAAGCAAATAGCTGTTGTCCATAAATGTTGATGTGGCTGTGACAATGAACCATTTAATTTAGAAGAATGCCAATGAATATATGCGGACTAGGGGCCTCATTTATAAAATACTGCGTAGAAAGAATCCTAAATTAGATTTTACGATAATTTCTCAAAGTGTGTAAGTGTGATTCATAGAACGAACGTATGCACTGCAAACATGCGTACGCCTCTCTTTTAGATGGGACATCTATGCATTGCAATGATCTTGAAATTGTGCGTAGCTGAACAGTTTCAGATCTCCGCCCTCTAAACAATGTCTAATTAATGTCCTTGACTTATAAAAGAGCACCTGACAATGTCCAAATCATTTACAAGCGGCAAGAATGGCTTATATTTCCAAAAACCTGCAGCACTCGGGCAAACAAAAGTGCGTACGTCTGCTCAGACCCTGAAGTGGCGCTAAACTCTTTTCCGCGTCGAAGACCGCTTTTATAAATATGAACGTTGCCGTGGATTTTTGCGTATGCACACTCTGCGATCAAATCTGTGCGTACGCACGTTTTATAAATGAGGCCACAGGTCTCTAAGAGTACAAACCCAATTCCAAAAAAGTTGGGACACTGTACAAATT